GGGAAGAAAATAGGTGTTAATATAAACTTTTCTTTAAATATATGTATAAGAGAACTTTGCATTTGTTGAAAAAAAAACTATTAAATAGCAGATTCTTTATCTACACCTATTATTACAAGATATAGTTGTCAACGTTTTATTCTTATATGAAATGTTTATTCAATACAAATATTAATTTGAGAATTACTAACATCCTCTTTGTCTAAAAGCCCAAAAATTATTAGCAACTGCGAATATCATAATGTGAATCTATGGTTTTTTTTTTTTTTTACCTAACATGTTTAAAATTGGACATTTTTTTAATGTTTTTTTTTAATGCAACATATAACACAAAAAGATGACCCTTTTTGGTGAATGGTGTTAATGCATGAATGTCCTATCTAAAAGCACAGATTTACTATGATATATCATACAATTGACAATGACTAAAGGAAAATTATAAAAGTATCATTATATATCATCCCCATGGTCCTAAACATTGCCACTTTTTGTAAGGATCATGTAAATTATTAATCTCATAAAACTCTTTTAATACCCCTTCCTTGAGATATTTCTTAATAATCTTGTAATGTTTTGCGTTAAATCCTGGTTCATAACATCCTATCTCAAAATATATTGACAAAGGTTTCATATTCCTTTCTTTCCAAGTATTCAAAAATTCATCTAAAGTCTTGTATGAAAATAGCCAACATCCGTCTGGTCTCTCAGAATCAAAATTCAAAGTAGTTAAACTCTGCGGTGCTTTCACCGCCAATAATTGAAGTACTTGTTCTCCATCAATAATTTTTAGTGATCGAGCTTTTAATTTTAAAACTTCAATTTTTTGACATGATTCCAATAATTGTTCTAATTCATATATTTCTATTTTGTTGCTTAAGACAATTGTAGTCAATTTAATATTTTGGCAGGAAAATGTAATTGCGTGCATGTAATTCCTTAATCCTTGATCATCAGCATGAGATACGTTATTAAAGTATATTTTTTTAAGATTTCCGTTTGTGCTCTCGATTATTTTTGTGTAATATTCGAATGGTGTTGAATTGTCTTCAAATATTTCAAGAGTTTCTAAATGTGGAAAAGACATAGGAAAAGACAATCCTTCATGAAATTTTACACAAATATTAACTCGTAAAGTTACTAAGTTTACAAAAGATGCAAGAAATTCAGGAGTAATGCAAAGATAATTTTGTATGTATAAGGATTTTAAGGAGGTTGCTTGTGCTAACAAAGCCTTTCCAATTTGATGGCATTCCACGATCTTGAGTTGCTTCGGTTTTGAAGGCACCAATTCAACTTCTCTTAAATTTGTTTGTTTAGTGATGAGTATCGCTAATCCCTCGATGTCTTCATCACAAGGCTCAATAATCAGCTTTTGAAGATTAGAACAGTATTGAGCCATTTCTTTGAAGAAAGTTGACGGAATGCTTGTACTGCATTCTAAGACAGAAAGTTGAGAAAGACAAGCTGTAGCACCAGGATATGTCAA